TTTAAATAATTGAATGTGTGCTTTGTTAACAAAGGACATGAATCTACTATATTTAAAGACTGATATAATTAGTCTCATGAAAGTTTGATTTCGAAACTAATTCCTGACTTTCAATATTGTATCCATTATGATTGGAATAGTTTAACCAAGTTTTTTACCAAATAATATCTACAACACTTTTTTAATTCATTAGAATTATTAAAATCACAAACTTGTTCTCCACCATAATTGGTGGTTGTGCTCCCAGAAAACTTTTTTTAAATGCTTCGGAATTGATATTTACCGTTTTCACTTCAACACGAACGACACCAATTTCATAAAGCGCGTACAATTCCATCCAAAACTCCTGACAAAATAAGCATGCTCCAATGCGTCGATTTTCAATACCTGATGCCTGAAAAGTTTCTACAATCACGTATTTTTTTTCCAATGCGTGTTAATTTTTAAGAAGTATAGCACAATATAAATTCTACAAGCCTATCACGCACTTTAAAACAAGCTACATATTAATGTTACACAGTGGTATATTTGTGAATATTACGTCAAAATAATTATTACTAAAAAATTTATTTTCAAGAAAATTTTTAGTTTTAATTAAAAATTTACACGAATATGAAATCAATCAAAAAAATCTCAACATCATTAATCAAAAATACTGAATGATTGAATTTCTTAACCCAAGTCAATAACCATCAAGTTTTATCAGTAATAAATAAAAATTAAAATGTAAGTTAACTTTGTACAAATCGTATATTGAAGTCTCTACCACAAGTTTTACATACCTTTACGTAAAGTTCCAGCAGTGGTTTTTGATCAGTTTTCATATGATCACCATTTGCCTGCTGAACTTGATAATCGTCAGCCATTTTCACTTCTTCACTCCTTTTTCACTTTTTGGATAATAATAATACAAACTAAAAGTTTCAATCTCATCATCAATTAATAGCAATATAAAATAATTAAAACGCATAACATTAACATATATGTGCATTGATTACTGAACGAGAATAAGCACGAAAAACACCAAAAAGAATAAAACAGAATAAAAAACTGGAAGAGCAATCATTTGCACAAAGAAAACGAAAGTAAAAAAAAACATGATAAATAGTCCAAATCATGTTTGACAAGCGCTCGAAACAAATCAAAACATATGTTACGGTTGTAATTACAGTCGCGGGATGAAATTTAAACAATCCCGCAATGGCTAAATTTTCTTCGAAATGAGTCAGACATGTATTAAGAGAAATATAGAATATTTTGTTTTTCTACTGAAAAACTTGTCTGCGCTTGGAAAATTTTCGAAAAAAGTAATTCAAGTATTCAAGTACAAAAGAGTAATTTTAAAAACGTGTAAAATATTTAATTTCTAAAATATTATACTTGAAAACATTCTTTAATAATAAAAGAAGTGAAAAAAGATTATATATTAAAATAAATGTACTTAATGAAAAATATAATAAAATGACAGGTACTCTTTTGTAAACCAAAAAGCGTATAAATTACAGGATACTATGAAGGAAACCCTCAAGTAATTTAAGACATACATGATGAGAGTAAGTTTATATGCGTAAAAGGTAAACGTAAAAATGTCGTTAATTTGACGATACGTTTCAAAAATGTTCCGTGTGTCACAATTTTTGCTCACTTGCTATTATGTGATAAGCGTTTATCTTTCAAAACTGTTCATTACTAAAGATCAACCTCATTTAATTATTTGTTCTGAAATTATTTGTTCTGAAATATTATTGAAGAACAGCACTAAATATCACTTATAGATCGAAAAGTTCTGAATTACTTAACAGTAAAATATTATGCTAAAATACTGTAGTAATTAAAATATTGTATTGATATATATTCCACTCTTTTCATTAGTGCTAGACATTTTGTCACTTATATGAAAACGTATACATGCACGTGAACTAAATTTATAAAAAAAGTGAAAAACGGAAATAAATGAGTGATAAGTTCATCAGTATAATTTTACGTAAAGAGGTAATATTATCGCATTATTTGCCAAAAAAATATCAGAACACTTTCAGACTTTATTTTAAAAAAGATTACTTATAATTAAATTTGAAACAAATTTAATGTAAACAAAACTTTAAAATATCGATTTTTAATTAATAATTTTCATAATTTAAATAATACAATGTAGCAAAGATCTGAAAAAAATTCAAACTGGCGGAAAATATAGCAACTGATATTATTTTACACTTATCGCAATTATTTGTTTCTGTAAACGTGTATTACTTTGCATAGCAAATTTTTTCATGATAAAATAAACAAAAAATAGTAAGCATTTCTTTGGAAAATGTGCTATTTATTTGACGAAAAGAATGTCATTAAAAATGAAGAAAATATTTCTTCGTTAAAATGAATATTTTGTGATGGAAGACATATCGTTACGTGTACTACGGCAGATTGCTCTCGATGAATCAAATAATAATAGAAATAATAATAATAATAATTATTATTATTATTATTATTGAATAGCGTAAAAGAAAATGATTAAAAAAATATTTTTGCAAATAAATAAAATTTATATTTTGTTTTAGTAAAGTAATAGTATAATTTCTTGTTGCTATTCGCAAACAATCATTCCTTTGACATTTTTCACTTTCGACAAATAATAACAATTATAATATAACAGCGATAATACAGAATTATTAGTTATAATAAATATAGCGAAATTGGCGGGATATTTTGTTCATTCACGTAGTGAATTTGCAGTTGTTTTTCGTGCATTATACTCTGAAAGCAATTAAAATGAATGAAATTAAAAAAGAAAACGACGCACATTTTATGACTTGTAAGTCTGAGATAATGCTAGCAAAAATACAACAATTTTGTTGGAATAATTTTAAAATCATTTTCGTATATGCTTACAATGTATTTTTGGCTTCTAACTTACAGAAGTGAGCATTCAGTTATAATACTCAATCACAAACGGATTAAACTAAAATATCACTTAGTAAATATTTATTTTAATTTATTTTACTTACAAATTAAAAACTGTAAAGTGATTGATTATTTATTTGTGTCTTTATCACAAATTCACAAATTAACAAGTAAGTGCTAATTGACTTACAGTTAATTTGTAAGTAAAATAAATCAGCTAACAATTATTTGTCTAATTTAAAAACATTGATAGAAATTGAACTGAAATATTTTTAACAATTTGTATAATTATCTTAAACAAATATATTTTTTTGCTCGAATTAGTCATACTGTCATATTTTCAATTTACTGCCAATAAGACTGACTCATTTTCGATATTTAATATATAGTCTTAAATATTATGTCTATTCTTACAGTGAAAGTAGACGTATTTACAGTAACTGAAGCTTCATAATATTAAACATTTATTTTGCTACGTTTAATGGATTTTACAGCTCATTTTGATTACTAAAAACAAATTTAAAAATACAAAGTTAAAATAAATATACTTTGCAAATTTTAAAATCACATTAATAACATATAAGTATTAACTACGCAAAATAGAAAAATTTGTTTTACAATTTTGCAAAATCAAAAAAGTATTCAACTAAAGCAATTTAAAAATATATAATAAAAAGTATGCAGTGACTGTTTTCATATTCTAATTATTTTCACATAAATTTGCATATTTAAATGGACATCAACTGAAATTGAATTGACAGTAAAGATAAGATGATTAGAATTGTGGCAAATGTGGTAGTAAATGCAAATTTATTTAGCATAAATGAGACAAGAAGCAAAGATTAGGATAAAAATTAGTGAAAAATAGTTGTAAGTTCAAATTACTTTTGTTAATAAATTACAGTAATTTGTTGTAGTCATCGAAAATATCGCTTATTATTAATAATAACTGAAAGAAAAAAAACTCTCATTTTTAATTTTTTTCAAATTGTATTGTAATAACATTGTATTTTGTGTAAAAATTGAAGTGAGAGTAATCTTTTATTTACAAAAAAAAATACAAAAAATTACAATTTTTGGTATTTTTTGAGAGAATAATCGTTGATTGCGAAGGAAAGAATGGAAGAGATATACTTTTAATGGCAAGAAAGATTTCCAAAGTAAAAGTGACCCACAAATGAGGCTAATTGTGAATATAATTGGAAATGAAAGAATAAATAGGTACTGAATTGAACAAATGAATTCAGAAAGAATCATTCCATTCAGAATGAATTTAAAAAAAATTCCTAATTCGATATGAATGGTTAAATTTGAGCAAGTGGATACTGTCAAATGTATGAAAGTATTTTGTACTGCAAAATGAAATTTAAATAATTTGAAGAATAATCAGAAAATAACTTTATTAGTAATGAATTGCTTTTTTGACGCTAGTAAGAGTGGTAATTAAAGGATTAAAAATTTTAATAATTACAATACATGTATGAATAATAAAAAAGTATAGAACAGAGGCATTTTGAAAAACTAAGAAGAAAGTATTCAGTCATGTTTTCAAAAAGTGGGAGATTTCAAGCTTATAAATACCTTTCAATTTTTTACTGTGACTTTAAAAAAAACGTAAAAAGCTATTAAAAGCGTTAAAAAAGTTGATATAGAGAGAAGAGCAAAAAAAGCATACAAATATATGAAAATATATAAAATGTGTATACGTTTGCACGCCCGGCTATATGCAATTTATGACTTGTGAATATGAAAAGTATTAAAATGTAGTAATATTTATGTACAAATATATATATATATGTATATATATTTAATACTTTTCACAAGCCATAATTTATATATATATTTATATAAAGTTTGGTTTTCAATATCTATTTTATATATATATGAAATGTTTACAGAATAGAGCAGACGAAACTTCAATTTTACATCGGTTATTCTTTTCGAAAGCTTAGCCATCAAATTCAGAATCTATAAACAGATATTTAAAAAACCAAAACTATGCAAAGTGGAAATAGATACTAAAGAAAACGAGCAAATTCTGCAAAAACAAAAAAGACAGACAGTTTTTCAGAAAATTTCAAAATTAGAATAAAATATTTGAATTAAATTCATTAAAATAACGCGCATTGAGTGATAAAAATGCATAGCGATGAAGAAAATTACTACAACATAACGGTAATTGCATTGTGGATGCCAATAATGTCAAGAAAAATGCATCTGAATCAGACGATTATTCTTTTGTATTAGAAATTTCATATTTTCAATTACTATTTTTTCTCTTTATTAGTTATTTTTTCACTCTAAAATATATTTAATTCCAAAAGATATATTCTATGAAGTATAAGTATTATCAAAGCATATCAAAGATGCAGAAACTGAACTAAAAAAGATTCACATAAGAATCAGTCTAGTAAACAAAACAGAGCAGACGATAAAAAGTAAATACAAATAAAATTTTAAAAATGATAGGAAAAGAATGTAATCATTTCAGCACACTCACTGATAACCGATAATAATCAAGAACCAAAGCATTTTTTTATGGGTTAGCAAGATTTATTTTTTACACTGCTATTTCCTCGTGAGGACTTTTAGATGAGGTCAAGAAATAGAAGTAATGCGGCTATTTAACAGTAACTTGTAAGTGAATTCTGCATTTATCTTGAATCGATTACAAAAAGATTACTCACTGCATGAAGGTCAAACTTTACAAAGTAATCAACTTAATCCGATTGACGAAAAGAGAGTAATATACTAATTTCATTTCTACCGAAAGGTGATAAGAAATAGGTCGAGTTGTAATCAGATCAGATTAATTAAAAGTCAAAGGAGGAAGATTTCAATTGCTGATCATTCAGTTTTTGGAACTATTAATCATTCAATTATTGGAATGATAAACTTACTGACAAGACTGCAAAATGGTAATAACTGTAAGTTGACTTGTCATCACTGAGCTACAGCTCAATGGTATTTTGTTCATGCAAAAAGCTGTAGAAGTCAACGTAGCCATTTTCGCAACTGTACACTACTTCGTTGCAGTAGAAGGCAATTGCGATTGAGCATTCGTTTACATATCGACGTGGTCGTTTCTCTGTGTGCAGAAGACTGACTGTTCTGCGTAACAGTAAAGGCTAATATCAATGTTTATTTTATTCGTTTTGTACAAACAAGTCAAAATTAGCACTAAAATGTGTATAGCTAATATTTTACGGCCTTCTGGTAATAAAGAATTAAGTTTACTACGCTTTTATCACAGCGTAACGATGTAAACTCATTTTCAATCTTTTTTTCACTCGAATTTGTGTGCGAAAAATTGCGAGTTTCACGTCGAAAAATTAGCAACATAAATTCTACAAGTACTCATTTCTCACAACAATTGAAAACTGCTGTTCTCTCGAGACTACAAACTTACACACTTTCTTTACTTTTAAAAATCTATAATCTTCTTGCACCTTACAAGTATCTATTGTTCCTTCCATTCTTAGCTTGCTTCATTTCAAGGCTAACTCAACTCCTTTAAGAAGAATCAGATGCTAATAACGTACATACTTAATACCATTCCCTTTAACTAACTATTATTCTTGCTTATTATGCTGTGAAGACCGAAGGAAATAAATAAAATTCAAAATTAAAATAATTAAAAAATTGTAATTTAAAATTAAAATGATTTAGACAAAGTTTGTGCATATGTAAAATAAGTGTGAATATGAAACATTAATAGCATGGCATAATTTGTGTAAAATTTGTTTATATGTGAGAAAAAAGGGGCTGTAAAACGAGAATTGTATGCCAAATAAGGCATTCAAAGTCATGCTTAAAGAATGACAATCGTTTCATCTGGAGGTAAAAAGTGAAACAGAACAAAAGATACCAGACAAAAATGCAAAATATTTATTGATAAGCTAAACATTTTTTCAGCAAATTAACGTATACTTTACTTTTTTACGATGTTAAGTTCTTTGGTGCAGAAAACATTTTTTTGCTTTTTGAGATTCGAGCTAGAATTTTGATATTTTTACTGAGCTAAACTTCAAACTATTGAACTTGTTAACAAAGCGAGTAAAATTGTAAACAAAATCAGTAATTACTGTCTTTTTGATCTCATCATTCACTTTAAATTATTCAATCATAATATTATGTTCTGCTAAAGATAACTACTATACGTTTATTTCCGAAGAAAACATTTGTTTCATATTTTGCAAATAAAAAACAAGCAAAAATTAAATATGCTATTTTTTTACACGTGCGTGACAAACGCTTTTTGTGACAAAAATAATCATATGATTAGAGCTTATTTATTAAGCGTTCAATAATTTAGCAATTTATCTACGTTTAATTTTTAATTCCGTCGAATTTACATGTAAGTGGGACAAAAAAATTTCACAAAACTTTTATTAAACTATTCTAAGAAACCAGAAACTGGTTGAAAACGGGAATCGTTAGATTACAATAGTATATGGGAAACCATTGTTGATTGCATGCGAGTGTTAAAACTTTTATTGAGTTTTTTGTTATCTGATATTAAGTTAAGATATTCAGGTATTTTTGTAATGCTGATTGAAAAAGCCTTATGTGAAAAAGCATTAATTTGTTAATGCTTAATTCTAAAAAGCACTAATTCTTATCAGATAAACAAAATATTGTATGATATTTTGTTGTGAAAGTATACAAAGTATACTTTTGCGTAGAAATTATTTCTTACCTTTGTATTTCTTGCTTTTACTTATTGATTTGTAGTGTATCTGGTAATTACTGAGAAGAGTTCGGACGAAACAGATATGTATATTTAGAGCAGTGTATTACACTGTAATAACTTGTTTGGTTTCACATTATGTTGTTTTTTTAAATCACGATGACATAGCATGCTTGAGCTTGACTTTAATGTTTTTATCTTTATTATCGATTACAGGAATTATTTTGGTAACTAAAAAAATATAATTTTCAAATAAAGTGAGCTACTTGATTGATATTCGTGACGGATAGGTTCAAGTTTTTGGCTGCAGACATAGAAAAAAAAAATTTTAAATAATATTTAATGTTAATTGCTGAAAATAATTGTTTCTATTATTCAGGTCACTTTGACAAACTACATTTGAGTAGAGTGTTGAGTTAAAATTTTTGTGCAAAAGGTAATGTTAGAAGATTTGATTCGTCATGGATTCAGTCCATTGTTAGCAGTGCTTACATCAGATGGTGTGGAACGTTTTACGGCTAAGAGTAATCTTAGCTTTACTGATTTACTTCTACCATTTGCTTCAATTAATTGTACAGTAAAGGTTATTCTTTAGTTACTACTTTGTTTGCTTATCATCACAAGGAATGATAATAGTAGCATTAATAGCGATAACAATAA